ATTTTTGGGTTGGGTCTGGTCAAGTTTAGTACAGATCCCACCTTATATTTTCAAGTCCGGGTCTGGGTCCAGATCCTATGACTTCGGATCTAGATCCAAGCCTTAGTACCATAATACTTTTTGGGATCCGACCGAACCCGATCTGACCCGTTGCCACCACCCAGGCTACAAAAGTGCCAAACTATTCTATGAACTTGTTCGGGCGAGACAAGGTGAAATTAGATACCATAAAAATGCAACCGTTGACGTTCTGGCTTTGTCTTATGCAAAAGGTACACCAATTAGAGAGGTGACATAAAGGATCTAACACTTATGCCTACCCTAATGCTAAGGCCCTAAACCTAGTACCTAACTCGTAATGCCATCATATGACCAGACAATATGAGTCCTCAAAACTAATTTTAATAATGCAATCCTAATTAACAGGGTGACAACCCACGATGTGGGACTCTAAATTTACAAGGCCTCTCATGCACATGTATACAAAGCCGGCGATGATTGAGACATGCTCAACACCAATGCAATCTCTCATGTATTCAATAATATTAATCAGTGTTTGAAAAAAGTAAGGGTCCAATCCGAATTGCCCGGTTTGACCCCACAACTGATAGGGGCGATCCAGTTCTCCAATAAATCGCACAATGTCCCTTCCTTTTTATTTCTTTTCATTTTTTCATATTAAAATTGTTGATTTGGAACAGGTGAATGGAAAATTGGTATCCTTAGTGATTTAGTATCCGATTCTGATTTTTAAAACACTTAATATAAACTTCTACAAGGATTGATCTCAATTGGGTCAAAAGTTGGTGAACGGACGAAGTATGTGTCGTAAGGATTAGTGAAGGAAATGGGAGCCAATTTTGCATCACCAATGTAAGGGTGGCAATGGGTCTGGCCATCCTTGACCCCTAGCGCGGCCCTTGTCCCCATAGGGCTAGCCTAGGCCCAGCTAGGCCTTGTTAGGGTTGGGCCGAGTAAAAAGAAAATGAAGTAAAAATTAAAGAAAAAAAAAGAAAAAAGTGGGGAGTGGGCCAGGTAAAAAGAAAATGAAGTAAAAATTAAAGAAAAAAAAGGAAAAAGTGGGGAGTATGCCAGGCTGAACCTGGCCGGTAGTGGCCCTAGCCAGGCCCTCGGGCCACAGTTTGTTGCCTAGGCCCTACTTTTATAGGGCTGAGCCAACATGGCCAGACCGGGCCTCCCGGCCCATTACCAGCCTACCAATGTATTCCTAAATGTATTTGGTATTCAGACTTTTATTTGCAAAGTACCGATCTCATGGGTCAGAAGTTGGTGAATAGATAATGCATGAGCCGTAAGGACTCTAGGGAGGCAAGGGGAGGCAAGTTTGCAACACTATTGTATTCCTAATGTACTCCAGAATATTAACATTTGGAAAGGATTGATCCCATGGGTCGACGTTTGTTGATAGACAATGCAAGTGTTTGTAAGGATTTCAAGGAGGCAAAGGGAGCCCAATTTTGTAGCACTAATGTATTCCATAATGTTAACATCTACAATGGCTAGATCCCATGGGTCTGGTCTGTGAATTGATAATGCATTTGTGGTAAGGATTTCAAGGAGGCAAGGGGGCCAATTTTTGTGTGGGAATCATTTGGTCCCCCCTCTCCTACATGCATATATATATATATAAAGCGTCTATGGGGCACTGAACCTACTAAGTTAGATCAGAGGCTTTCTAGTCTCACTGAGATGGCCTCCCCAGATCCATACTGCATTCGTTCCGTAAGCATGCCCACTGGATCACACCCTATCTTGAGCCAAGTCAAGGAACAAGTGCACCAGCTCAGTTGTGAGCACATGAACAGTTCAAGCAGTGAATGGTTCATTGGGAACCTCAGAAACCTATACAATGACTTGGATGATCTTCTTCGGCTGCCTCTTGCCCAACATGTCCTTTGCAAATGCAAAGACGAGGTCGAGGAGTTGGTGGAAGATTCTCTCAGCTTGCTAGATGCCTGTGACAAAATGAGGGGTGTGGTTGCCAAGGTGAGAGAACAACAACAAGGCATTCTATCAACGATTCGTAGGAGAGATCACTTCGGGTTGGATGAGCTAGTCAGCATCTATATTCGCTCTAGAAAAAAGATGACGAAGGATCTCACTAGATGCCTCGGCACTATCGCAACAATGAGCAAATGTATACCCTCAGATGGCCAAAACCATCAATCGATCGCACGTGATTGTCAGGTGATGGATGTCTTGAGACTAGCGAGATCAGTCACAGTCTCTTATTGTCATACTCTAATAACAGGACTTGCTAGAGGAAGTAATAGATGGTCTCTGATCTCCAAATTCCTGAGAATGAGGCCTTTGGAATCAGGCCATGTAGAGACCTGTGAATTGGAGCACTTGGACATGATTCTCTGGCCTCTCCATGCCTGCTCGAGCAAACTGAAGGAAGCTTGCAGTCAAGATGCATTGAGACTGTTGGACTCTGTGGAGGATCGGCTGGGCTCGATTGAGGAACAGTTGGGATGCCTTTGTAACCTCTTGATCCGGATGAGGGTCACCCTTCTCAATATTCTAACAAATTGAACCCCTTCCCATCCTAGACCTTCAACATCTGAGAGCCCAAATTTTACAGGAGTTGCCTTGAGCAATTCATGCCAATTTCTTTGTAGAGAAAATTTTGTGTAGTAAAAGATGTACAATGGCACATTTTTACATTTCAAATTCCATGCTTCTTTTTAGATTCTTTTCACTTAATCATGTGTACTTAAGCTCCTCACCCTCTAAGGCTCTCTCGAAGAATACAAGTAGTCATCTATAAATATAGTAAGAAACCTGTATCTTAAGCGCAAGGCCCTATGATTCACATGAGAGTTGGCTCGGTTACATGTGCTTTCAATCCCACTGACAGTTTCGAAAAACCACTAACTATTGGCTCGGTTACATGTTGTGCTTTCAATCCCACTGACAGTTTCAAAAAACCACTAACTATTGGCTCGGTTACATGTTGTGCTTTCAATCCCACTGACAGCTTCAAAAAACCACTAACTATTGGCTTGGTTACATGTTGTGCTTTCAATCTCACTGAGAGTTTCAAAAAACCACTAACTATTTAAAAAAAACAAGTAAGGGCTTGTCTTCCCCGCTGAATTACCTAAAAGAAAAAAAAAAAAGTCTCGAAAATGATATATAACTCATAACTAGAAGTACAAGTACAAAAAGGCAAGAATATTTAGTATGGCACATATTCATGGAATGTATGTGATATAAGTGTCTGTGTGAGAGAGAGAGAGAGAGAGGAAAGGGAAAGAGAGTAGAATAGATAATCAAAAGGACAAAATTTCTATGAGTTGGTTGATTTATCCATTTAAATAAGTCCTCTCTCGTAAATATATTTTAGGGACGGATTTTGGATTCAAATTTTTAAGAAATGAAATCTAAACTGAAACCCTAAAAAAATAAATTTTAAAAATAAAAATAAAAAATTTACATAATTTATATACCACTTATATTAGAATTTTTGGAGGCCTTTAGTTTCTAATATCCGTTCCAACATGGATGATGCTACATGCGTCAGATCCTATTGAAGAAGTGCATCCACTGATACACACACTACTTTTCCAGATCAAAACCCGGACGATAGAAAAATGGGAAAGGTTTATATACTTCCCCTACAACATAGAAGATCTACGCTTTCTCTACTATCCAGCCGTTTAATTTTGATCAAGAGTGTCACTCACCGTTTAATCTTAGATCCGACGTCTCAAAGTATTGTATTTTTAAAAAACATTTGTACAAATTGTATAAATATGAAATTTGGTACGTGACATCCTTTCATTGGGGCGCACCTATAAAAAATATTAAAAATAGTTTTTTGAAAAATATAATGACCAAAATACCCTTTAAAATTTTTAGGGGTATTTTGGTTATTTATTTTATTGGAAATATTTTTTTTATATATTTTTCGTTAGTACGAGTTTAATAGAGGATTGGATGTGGTATCAAAATAGTTTATAAAAAAAATTAAAATAAAAATAGTGTAAAGACGTTACATTATGATTGGCCAATATTAGCCCTCCATTCAGAATGGACATTTGGATAAGGGGAAGTATATACGTTTTATGTTGTAGGAAAAACATAAAAAGCTTGCCCTAGAAAAATACCTTCTCTCTTTGTTTGTAGGGGAATTCATCGCAAGAGATTTGACTATCTCTCTAGTATGGACAATCTCCCCATAAAAGTTTTTTTTGGTCAAAATACGTACAAAACAAGGCTTTTCCACAATTTATTGTTTGATATATTTTTTTTGCTACTATTTTTAGTTTGAAAATTCATATTTCAACATCAAATAGGTGTGATATTCACCATTTTTTGTTACTAATTTTAGTTTGAGAAATTCTATTTTCTATCGTAAATTTTTTTTTTATAAGTTTTGAAAATTCCAATAGTCCAAAAATGAGTTTGCAGCTAGATTTGAGTAATGCTTATGATCGAGTATCTTTGTCCTTATGAATTAAGTAGTCTTTTCTAAGCTGCATTTTGTAGAGAGAGAAAGCTGTAGGTTTTTAATCTCATATTGAAGAGGAGTGAGTTACTTAAAAAGTATTTAGGAGAAAGCATTCTCATAATGTATAGTTTTAGTACAAATAAGAGAAAGATGGTGTATGCGCGAAGCACGCGAAGCCTGCAACACGTCACGTTCTGCACTTTGCACGCTTCGATCGACATATGGGGCATCTCTCGACGGAGCACGTGTGTGGGTCGGGCTGATGGCTCGATATCTTTTTATGAGCCCGGCTAGTGTAGGACATCCAACTGTCATCTACCCATTGAAGTGGAGGCTTACGGGCCCAATATCTTTTTGTGAGCCCGGGTAGTGTGGGAGATTCAACAGTCTATCCATTAAAGTGGATGCTTGTAACAACAACAGTCAAGTGCATGTAACTTGTGATTGTTGGTAGTGTATATAACCACGACTACAATAAAGAGGCAGCCTCTTAGTGCTCTAAATAAGGGGCCTTGGTTTCCATACGAAAATATACTTGTGAGCCTCTCAACAAACACTTGCAACACTTTTCTCTATGAAATTCTAGGGAGCATATCAGTGAACTCATCTCTCTCTCTACTCATTTTTATCTCTTTCTTTCTCTCTAAACTAGTATTCGTAAAATCGAACCAGAATGGTTAATCGGAGTTGGGCCTGGAAGCGGTTTAATCGAGTAACCGGCAAACCGGCTGATTCAACCGCTCTAACCGGGTAAGTCCCAGATGATCAAAAAAATGTTGAAAAAAAATAAAAAAAAAATCTGCTAAAATATGAAAAACATATAATGAATGATTAAAACAAAACACATTCAAATGATGTTGAAAATGAATGAAAGAAATGGATTTTAACCCATTTTATATTTTCCAAGGGCTATTTTTTTAATTTTCTAAAAAAGATGGGAAAATATAAAAGTGAGTATTAATGACCAATTTTTTTTAATCTTTACCATAATGTAAAAAATATTTAAAAATACATTACAAATCAAATTCCTTATTTTTGAGAATTTATATGTATTTTTTCAAAAACAAATTTTAAATACCGGTTGATCACCCTAACCACCTAAAACCGGAACCGGCCACTGAGCGGTTCCGATCCAACCGGGCGGTTAGCGGTTAGATTGGGCGATTTTGCGAACAATGCTCTAAACAAGACAAGACTCTAGTGTATTGTATGGGCTTCAAGCTCAGGTGTGTAGAGCTTTGAAGTATAAAAAAAGACCTCTATGTTTTCTTGTATCTCGAGGACGAGTTGCCTTTCTTATGCACATCAATTATAATATCGGATGGGGGCAAATATTATTTTGAGATAGTGCTCCATCGTGCCCAAAAACAAAAAAGGTTCGAGTGTTTATTTTTGTAATTGGTATTATCTTTTGCCCCTATTTCACCTAACCATTTTCCAAGAAGTAGTGATCTTTGTGCATCATTTTTAGAGTTCTAAAGAAATTTCCTGCAGACCTTTGTGACTGTTTTTTATAGAGCGAGAATGTATTGCATGTCATATATTTGTTAATTTTTTTAGTTGCGTTCACAACCTAATTTACGTGTTACTATAACTACATTTAATTATAAAAACAAAAAAGATCCATTGTATTTTGGCCAACACTAATTACTTCACGCCATTGTAAAACAGACTATATACCACAACTGAGTCTTATCTCACAACCAAGTCTCTTAAGCTCTTCTGTTGAGCACCACCAGCATAGGAAGAGAAATGCCAAATAACACGAGAACAGACCACTCACCGCTATTTGTATTAACAAATAGCAACACAGGACAAACCAACAAAAAGGCCATCAAAGACAACCGTCACAAAAACACAGAGAAACACTTTTAGAGAGACAACGGTCTCTGTTTTGTTCATTCCATAAATTCAAATGAAACCCAAAATATTTACATCTCCATATGACCGAATAATGCGTAACTGGGCTTATATAGCTAAAAAATAAAAAAGAAATAAAAGTAAAACAAAAACCATATGAGACCGCAAATGTATGCCACATATACCTCTGTGCATGATCCCCTTGCTTATTGAAAACTGGATTGAGAGAGGGAGAGGTAGAGAGTAGAGACAACTAATTTGATTTGTGAGGAGAGATCCATTTTAAGATTACAAGAGGGTAATTAGTTTTGCTAAGAAATAAGAATCCTTTATGAAAGCTTGGCTTACCTCTTCACCTCCCAAGTCACAGTCACAGTGGCCAGTAAATTCAATTTTAACCTGGATTTTCCCTGCGAATATCCTATCGAAAAAATTGTGTTAGCTTCAAATTTGTGCTTTGTCAAATTTGAAGTACAACTAAGATTATTAGTGATTCTCATAATGCAGAAATGCAATTCGATTCAATGAGGCATTTGTTCCTTTATAAATGAAATGGCTTTAGCCTCCAAAATTTCAGCGAAAATCGCGCCCAAATTATGAAACCAATATGCTCTTCAAGACAAGGAAAATGATAGTGATTGGTAGAGCAGATTGAGAAGAAGAGAATATAAGATGAGAACTATAAATCATCTTTTTCATTAATTGTTCTATACAAAATATAATTACAGTCGACAATGGGTCAAATCGAATGGAAAGCGGATACCCAAAGCTCAAAATTGGGAGTCCATGGGAGCAATCTATATGGTTAGGATGTTAAGAAGTGCGACCCGAACTCGAATCAACCGACCATTGATATGCCTCAACTGATTGTCTATGTTGTTCAGGCATTCATCCCATGACTCCAACTGGTTTTGGGCATCCTTGGCACACAATTCTTTAACCTTTCCAGAGCTAGTGTACAGGACATTGAGGGTAAGTTTGACGCAATCCCACCCATCATTTGGTTGTTGTAATTTTGGTTTGAGGAGTGCGGATACAATCGAACGCCGTTTCCTTGATGAAATGAATCTAGAAAGGAGAGACCTATACACAAGAGCAGTGATAGATCCCATTTGTTTCAAGGCACACAGGGGACATCATCGTCTTGACTTGATCCTCGGTCTTGGGATTGATAGGAAACTGATTTGTAAGTTTTTTGCAAAGTGCCAAGGGAATTGGCCAATTCCTTGGTCATCTTCTTTTGGGCTAAGATGCAGGCCCCAATTTGGCCTCTCAACGCTGTGTGGTCTCTCCTACGAAGAGCTGAGAGAACACCCGCCTGTTGCTCTCTTACTCTGGCTATGGCATCATTCATTTTGCTGCACATGTCCATCAATATAAGAGTCTCATCGAGAATCTCATCGACCCATATATGTTGTCGCCGAATGGCTTCATGGACGAGAGGCAACCGGAGAAAGTCCTCAGAATCATTGTATATATCAACTAAGGAATCAACAGGGCAGCTCGCTGTTTGCCTTGCGTCGCAATAGCTGAAGCGCAGCAACTTCTCATTCAATTGGTGTAAGATTGGGTGTGATTTAGATGGCAAGCTATTGGATCGAACATGATAGGGGTTTGGGGCATCCATTGTGTAACTTCCAAAACCAAGATCCAGGCTCTGTTGCTTCCAATGTACCAGTGGGCATGCATGCATGCCTCTTATAAGGTAAGGGGTGGCAAATGGAATCCTTCTTTCTGTATCGAGTACGGACATGGCATTGTTAACACGTGCGATCTTGGGGTGAGTATTTGTTGATGGATGGGCAGGGTCAATGGTTGTCTCAAGGAGCGCAGACAACACAGTAATTGTGGATGCTTGTGGCACACATACATCATCGGTGTGTTATTTATTAATGTAGACTGCACCAGTGGCTTGCCTGCTCTCTGCCAGACAAAAGCCCAAATATTTAATCCTTAAACAATGTCGCCTTCCGATCGAAAGTTACCTGACCTGCATCATTTCTTATCAGTTGCTTGGTGGGTAGCGTCCCATGCTTGGGATTATGGTGACAATTGAGGCTCTCGCCAATTGAGGCTGGTTTTGGCTTTTTTTTTAGTTTATTTATTTATTTTTTGGGTTAAGGAGGTGAAGTCAAGTGGTTCGCTTGCTTCTAGGGTGAAAAAGGACCTCGACTAGACCTGGTATACTCGACACGGGGTCTAGGTATGGGTTCAATATTTGGACGTAGCGAGTCGGGTTCGGGTCCCAAATTTGGACCTGATCATTATTCGGGTTTGGGTCTGGGTCCGGGTCTAGTTGGATCTGATCCGTACCTGTAAGTTGTTGGAGATAAAATACTTCAAGCCCTATTCACTTAGGTGTATTAAGAATCATATACAATAAGAACTTGTAGTCATATTTAGCTATTAAGCGATAAATCGTTTAATAGCGGATGATTGTGACCTTGTTGCCGATAATATGAGTATATGATAGTAAAAAGAAAAAGCAAGAAAAAAAAGAAAAAACTCATAATGAAGGTGACAATGGACCCAACTAGACCTCAAACCCGACAGGATAGAACAAGGACTTGACAAGTACGGGTATGAATCTAACTTTTGAACCCGATGGGTTAGGTTCGGGTCCAAAACCTATACCCTATACTATCCTTTTATAATAATACTAGGATCTGTTAGTTGATCAAATTCGATTTCGTCTGTATCAGTTACAGTTCCTGATATGTCATTTTGTAATTCTAATATTTTGATTCTAGTTTTTAATTGTCCGATTTCTGTTTTTATTTCATTTACTTCTTTTTTTAATTCAGATATTGTGTGTTCTTTTTGAAGTATATCTTTTTTATTAATTCGTTTGAGTATTTCAGCAAAATTGTAATCCTCTGGTGGTTTGAGTAATGGAATTTGTTTATTTTTTGCTTTTGTTAATGTGATAAATTGGGTAATTATTTCTCTCTTTTCCTCTGGATCATTTATTTTTTCTATAAGGTCTAATATTAAGGTATCTTCTTTGGATAGCATATTATAGGAACATTCTTCTATATTCTGTTCAGATCCAGATTGTTCTGTTGAGGACATGAAATAATCGTCATCCTCTATTTGTCCTACCATTGTAGTATCAGTGGAAGATTCAGAAGAATCATCATCATATATTTGTATTATATCATATAGTTTATTTCTAATGGATTCTTCTAAAATTATAGTATATATTTTCTTTTTTATTTTACATTGGCTTTTATAATGGCCAACTTTTCCGCATTTATAACATACAGGTAATTTCCTTTTACTCTTATGGTATTTGTATTTTGGAGAGAATCTTTTTATGAATTTATCTTTCTTGTGTTTTTTATGAGATTTCTTTTCTTTCTTTCTGTCTTATATCTTTTCTTTTTATGAAATTTATCTCTAGATTTTTCAATATGATATCCGAATTGTTCACAGAAGTCTCCTAATTCTTTTTTACCAGTCATTTTTTGTTTATCTAATTGTTTCTTTAATTTCATGTCGGTACATAGGGCTAATCCTTCTGCAGATAATTCTCCTAATGTATAAACAAAATATGGTATTATTCCTCCATTTTTATTTTTTAATCTAGTTTTTACATTTTCTGCAAATAAATATGGTAATCCAGCAATAAATTTTTCTTTCCATTGATCCTGCTGGCTATCTTCTCTGCTTAATAGTCTGGAAAAGAAAACATCTTTGTACCATTTATAATGGGATAGGGTTAGACATCTTAAATTAGATAACAAATCTTCAGATCGGGCTTCAAGTAAGGCTGTACTCCCACAAAATGAAGTGTGATGGTGTAAATGAGAGTATTAACAACATCACTTTCGGAATATAAGACATCTTGATTATTTTCATTTTTAACAGTCCATTGGCGAGTATTATTCAAAATTTGTTGTTTTGTATTTTCAGGTAAGTGGAAATCCCACCAATCTCGAAGCCATCCTGTGAAACCACAAACAATGGCTTTGGCGACCTCTTGATCATGGTTGCCTACCATTTTGCACGCAGAGGCATACATGGTCATATGTTTCATAGTGTCTAATATTTGTTGTTCAGATAATCCATCTATATTCCAATTTACTATTGATCTTCCTGAATAGGAAATATTCTAGGCTACCAAATCTTCTTCGAATTGTATATCAACAGGGGTAGGTCTATGATGATAGGGATTAGCTGTTAAAGGTTTCCATGATTTTCCATATACTATTCTTTGAATATTATTATTATCTTGTTCATGACTATTTTCCATAAAAGCTTCTTCCATATTTTCTATTGTGTTAGCAATTATGGGTGTTTCTTCTTGTAAGGTTAATGTAGATGATTCAGGGATTTCTGTAGAAATTTTCTCCTTTCCTTTGTCCTGAATGTTTAAAGTTTTCTCTTTAATTTCTAATTTAGATAATTTTGATATTAATTGATCCATTAAGGTTTTATTATCTTCTCCAAAATTAAATTTTTCTTTATCAAGTGATGGAGGTGGTTTAAATAAAACATTTGTGGTTTCTTTTATAGGTACAGGTCTTAACATATTTTCAATTCTGGATGCTTGCTTTCTTAAAGATTGCATATATAAATTTGTATAGTTATTTTGTTCTATTACATGTGGAATTAATTCAGCTTATGTATTATTTCTCCTGTGGTCATTTTGTATGGTGTAGCCTTTGTTTCTAATTTTAATTCTGGTTTTGATCATTTTATAATAATACTTTTTTCAGGAGGGTGAATACTTGTCATTGTATTTCCTTCAGTTGTTTTATATGAAGCATATTGACTTTGTATTGTATTTATTTCACAATTAGGAATATGTATTTTTCTTTCCCTACATATTTCTTTTAACCAGACAAAAAATCATTTGTTTTATCGTTCTTTTTTTCGTGCCTTATTGTACTTTATATGAAATAATTCTACTAATTTAGGTTGAAAATGTTTTTTATACCAAGTTATTATCTCCTTGTTTTCTTCAGATAAGTAATCATGTTCTATAAATTGTTTGCTAAGTCTTTTTTCTTCTGTAAGAGTTAAGACTTGAAAATCCATTTCTGAGTCAGTTATTTTTTGTTCAGATTTTTGTATGGACCTATATTGTGGGATGATAATATTTTCTCTTTGTTCTATATAGACTTTCTAAGTTTGGATTTATAGAAGAGGTAGAACTTCTTGGTAATTCTATTATAGGTTTTGTAGATGATTTTATTTCAGAATCATCTTTACTGTTATTTCTTCTATTGTTGGTAAATTGGATTTCTATTTTACCATTAGGATTTTCTAATATTCTTTCTGGAATATTATTTATTCTTGGGGCTTGGTACTGATGATTTTCATTGTAGATTGACCATGATTCTGGTAGAGTAATTTCTGACCATTCTATGGTTTTTGGTATAATAGTATTAGATTTTCAATATTGGTTTGGAAAAGTATTGTTTTTCCTCTTGTATCATGTTGTAAAACATTAGGGCATAATGTGGTCATAACTTTGTAATGT